GCGGCGCGACGTGGCATGTCCAGCGGCGCGGCGGGAGGCGTGACAACCTGCTGCTGCTCCTTTTGCATGGACCTGCTACTTGATTCTTCATTCCGAGCTTCCTTCATACGAGCTCTACGGGCTCGGTTGTAAGCATTTTTTAGAACCCGGCCCTCGTTCACATCAGGCTTCTAGAACACTAATATTACATGCTTAAAACTACATCGAGAAGAAAAACTAACCATTTACTTATTATTTAACACTAATATTACATGCTTAAAACTACATGGAGAAGAAAAACTAACCATTTACTTATTATTTAACACGCTTCTATAACTTGTCTTCCACATATTTTGTTACATAATAGACCAAAACAAAAAACCAAGATGTTAAGAAGTTACCAAAAAAATAAAGATTAAATGAAGAACTAAAAAAAAAACTAGTTTTGCACACATTTGCTAACTACATGCATTCATCCATTTATTTTTCAATACATTTTTAAATTAAATCAACAATAATACTAAAAATAAAAATTATTTTATCTATAAAATTTAGTGTTGATCCATTTATTTTTTTAACCACATGCATTCATCCATTGTTTTTCACTAGAAATAATTGTTATATTCCAAGGAAAATCCTATGGTAATAAATTCCAATGGAATGGCTTCCGTTGGAATGGCTCCAACGAAAATTTCAGCGAAAATAGTCCATTAGAATGTCATTGAAATTTTAGATGAAATTTGATGAATCCAACGGCTATACTTACAACGACTTTTTATTCAAAATACGATATATGCAATTATTCAATATAATTAACGGATACCTTGATTTTTAGCATGTAACACAAATAACATTTCATAGACGGAAGCATAATAATTCATCGCCGTCACGTATGCGGAAACATAACAATTCATCGCCATCTCATAGGCGAAAACATAAAAATTCATTGTCGTCTTGTTGATACCCAATTTTGGCCTCTATTATTTAAAAGGCCTCTATCATTTAATTATAAAACGTGGATATATATTAAATCAATTGTTGTATTTTATCTTATTTTTAAGGCAAAAAAAAAAACACCGTTTATGATAATAGTTGCCGACAAAAAATGACTATAAATATCCCCTATGATGGGCACAAGAGATAAGTTTGAGGGGGCCTTTTCTAATTTTTTTTCTCTTTCTTATCAACTGAGGCAACACCGTTCATCTTCTTCATGCTGCTTCTTTCTTTGAGTTTTCTTCAATTTATTATACACAAAAATAACTAAAAAATAAAAAGCAATACAACGCTATACATAATTTTCTGAATACCCCATGTTGATACAATTACGCATACAACACGTCTCATAGGCGGAAACATGATAATTCATCGCCGTCTCATTGGCGGAAACATTCATGAAACATACAACAAATCAATAATAACCATAGTAATTATAGAGAATACAACAAAGCATAGACTTCTCCACCTAATACTTAGAAGGGCTTTTCTACAGTCAGGTACCCTTGTACTTTGGCTTGTACTTACCTAACAACAGGTACCTTTTAAATGAACGCCATGTGTCCTTTTCTTAATAAATAAAAAAAT